AATGAAATTAAAGCAATCTTTAACTCACAAACTGAGAAAATGTAACGTAGTTTCCTTTATTTGTGTTGCTCCTTAATTATATTTTGTTGGCTTTTAGTTATGTTATGCAGGTTATATTATAAGATATATTATAATAATTCACGGATTATTACACGATGAATAATAAGACATAAAATTCTACCCCGAAAATGCGACAATTGTATTAGGATTGCAGAGTTGTATTAGTAGTGTAAAGTTCATGAAGGAAAAATTTCATATAAGAACAACTGGACTGCCTACTTTTCAGTTTTATAGCTAATATTTTAATTTATAACTAACTAGTCCAAAAATAATAGGCTAATACTCAACATTCAACTCCAATAAGTTCTCGAAATTACTATTTAATTTTTTAAAAAAATTGCTCGAGCTTTTAAGTTAATTTTCGAATCAGTAATTGTGACTCAAATATTAGTTCAACAAACCAAATCCATTTGGGTGGTGAAAATTAGATTTTTAACAAGCTTAAATATGTGGGTTTAAATTCCGAATTTGATTTTGTGAGAAATTTGGAGTGGGTGTTATTTAGACTTGTTAGAAATAGTATAAGGAGGTTGTATATAAACTTTGAAGTCATTTAATGGAGATTTGGACTGGTTTTAAACAAGAATTGCAACAGAAAATCGTGAAGAAGTTCGTCTACAAACGCTTGTATAAAGATAAAAGTGTATAATAGTGTATAAGATATATTTATACTCGTATACACTATTATACAAGATTATACATAATAATACAAAATACTGACTTCGTCTTCTTTCTTGTTTCTTTTCTGAAATTTAACTCAAATCTTGCTCAAATCTACTCCAAATCACTTCAAATTTAAAATTGGAACTCCTTTTGATATTTTCAATCAATTGGAACAATACCCAATCAAAACAACTAACAAACTCAAAAAATCATATTTTCGAAAGCAAAGCTTTGAATGGCCTTCAATGGTGGACTCTACTCTTCAATTTTCTTACATTGCAACAAGGCGACACAGGGAAGAAGCAGTAATGGCGGACGACCCCTTGAAGCATATATAGAAGATGTGAGAAGAAGAGAGAGGGAAAGCAATGGTTATGAAAAACACAAATTTAACTCCATAGTTTTAGAAGCATTTGGTTGTAAGAACACAGATTTTTGAGTTTGTTAGTGCTTTCAAAATATGTACAATATGGGCTAGGTCGAATAAAACTTAAAAACAAGGGCCATTTTTTGTTATGGTGTGAAGTCATGTGTATTTTCTTATAATTCTTTCTTTCTAGAATAAAAACATTCTATTACTAATATAAATTTTTTTTATATTATTAGGATTCTTATACGGCAAACAAAACAAGTTTATGACTAGAATAAGGTGATGATTGTGTCTTGTGTTTTTATCTAATTAAATTACTGATTAAAAAGATCACTTAAACTAATTAGATGAAGTCATGATCAAGAGAGATTATATTTGAAAGGAGACGTAATGAGTGATTTTACAGATTACATAAAAAGTAACAAATATAATTGAGCTTCATAGCTCTCATTTATTTGCATGACAAGCTTGCCACGCACTCATAAGTCTAAAATGTAGAAATTTTATTTCACTACTAATTGAGTCCGTTTGGACATAAGAAATTTTCCCTTTTTTCAAAAAATTTTTATTTTTTTCTCGAAATTAGCGTTTTCAATTTTAAATTGAAGATGCATTTTGGAAATTTTCAAAAATTTAAAAAACTCCAAAAAGCTGTTTTTCAAAATTTTCACTCAAATCACTCACAAGACTTCAAAAACAACCCAAAATTATATTCATGTTCAAACGCAACTCCAAAATTTCAAATATCATTTTCACTTCAATTTTTTTCCCAATCTTGGAATTTTACAATTCTTTATGTCCAAACGCCCACTAAGACATTGACAAGTGAAGCAATATTGACAATGAGAGAGAGAGAGAGAGAGTTACATTCTTCACTTCTCCTTTATATATCCTACTTTCGTACAATGTCTAATGACATTGACAAATGAAGAAATTAAATGACATACAATTTTCAGTTGTTAAGTTTTTAAGCGGAAAACATGATTCTAATTTCCAATTAGAATTCAGAAATCAAACTTAGTAGATAGGACTATCAACAACAAAATGCAACCACTACGGACATTTTAGTTGGCAAATTTTTCTCCAGGTAAATTGTTTTGGAAATAATTGATGATTAGTCCCAAGAGTCAAAATAATTGAACTGCCCATATATATATATATATATATATATATATATATATATATATATATATATATAAAGGTTAGTACAGGATTAGGTACATTGTTTCCTTGATACTGAAGTGAATATCACGATGTAATTTAAGCTAATTCAGAGTCAAAGGCAAGAAATCAAAAGTAACTTCATATATAGGTAGTCATTACTAGAGATGACTTATATATGTATTTCCCAAATAATCCAAGTTAATTAAATGAGCCACAAAAAGAAAAGATGTCAAAACTTGAAGCTTTGTCTTCGATATGACCTTACTTTTCTTTCAACCTAGTTGTTTGTAGCCTTTTACAGCTTGTTTGGATGGTTGTTATAAGTCGTATCATATTGTATTGTTATCCCAAAACACTATTTGTTTTAATTGTTTATTTAAAATTGATTGTATCGTATTGTTAAATCTATTGTTCTGGAACAACCAAAAGACCCATTTTATGAAACAACCGATTTGGTATGGCGGTGAGATTGTTTCCTATTTTCTTTTTCAATTATATCCTTACTTATTACTCTATAATTCTATTTTATCACTTTTTTTTTATTTAAACTCCAACTGTACAACCTATTGACCTACTTTGTCTTCTTCCATCTTTTCTAGAGTTAGTTTGTCCCGTTCTTTTTATCCAAGTCTCCGTTCGATTCTTTGTCTCTTTCCATCATTTTAATTTTTTTTTTGTTATTACTCTATAATTCTATTTTATCACTTTTTTTTTATTTAAACTCCAACTGTACAACCTATTGACCTACTTTGTCTTCTTCCATCTTTTCTAGAGTTAGTTTGACCCGTTCTTTTTATCCAAGTCTCCGTTCGATTCTTTGTCTCTTTCCATTATTTTAATTTTTTTTTGTTGCTAATTATATTAGTTAACCTTTTTTTTTCCAGGTTTTTGCTCTTGTTTCCAAGCTACGTAATTAATGATAAATTAGTATATATAAAGAGGTTATCTTAAATTATTTTTATGTGTAATTCTTGATAAATTTTATTTGAAACAATTAGGGGTATTNGGTCTTCTGACACTGAAAATATTCAAGAAAACCCTGGTGAGGTAAATACTTGCTTGGTATTCTCTGATGTGGTTGTAAAAAGTTGAAAATAGGTTTGTCTTGCCAGGACTTTTTCTATAAATAGTCTCTGAGGGCCTCCTTTTACCCTTTTCGAACCCTTCACTCTGAGACCTAACAAAACACTGTTCATCACGCCTTTGCTAGTAATTAATTGATTGGAACTTCTTGCTTCATTTCATCTCATTATCTGGTACCATAATCTTCCCTGAACTTGTTTAATTTTTTAAATTTTTGTTCTTTTTCTTAACTTCTGTTCTTCTTCCTCCCATAATTAATTCAATTGCTAGGTTAGATGGGTTTTAACTTTGATTCATGAGGACTTAGGTAGTATAATGGACTNAATATCTATGTACTTTGTGCGCTCATGCAAAATAGGATTAGTACCAATATATATATATATATATATATATATATATATATAGNTCCAAGCAGTCATGCAACCTCAGCAACAGTAGATGCTAAGATCCTACACTCAGCTTCAGCAGAACTTGTGGAAATAGTAGATTGTTTTTTTTTAATAGCCAAACATAGTGTTAAAAAGGCAAAGATCACTTGTAACCCACAACTGAAATTATTTATATTTAATAGCCGCAAAAAATGTTATAAGATTTGTAAATATATATATATATATATATATATATATATATATATATATATATATATATACGATTATTATTTTGCAAGCGATTATACATTGTCATTTTTCTTTTATAAAAACGTAAAAATATAAATGGACTAATTCCTCTCAAAGGGGACCACAGGAAATCGATAATGTTATAAAATAAAGACTTTAAAGTAAAGAAACCAAAGACAAGTAGAGAGAGAGATTTATTATTCAACTTCAAATTCATGTACATAATGAACTGAAATCTCTTCTATTTATAGAAGAAAGGAAGCTGTTGTGCCTGTGTAAGCTGCTACTACAAGCTGTTGTGTAAGCTGCTACTACAAGCTGCTGTGTAAGCTACTTGTAAGCTGCTTCTGTACCAGATATAGATAATCTTCTGCAGGGGGTAATCTTTATCCATAACGGAGTACCGAAAAGAAGCTTATTTATGACGAAGTACTAAATGAACATCCATAATATAATATATATTTATAACAATAAATAGTTTTTTGTTTCCAACAATTTTGTCAAGGATGGTGTCATGCAATAGAATATAACAGTAATAACATTTGTCCAAATAACGAAAATCTCATCTCTATAATATCCTCCCCACCCCAGAACCACTTATATTGAAATCTGAAATTACAGGACCAAACTTCCCATTGATGATTTGTTATAGCCTTTCACAGTTCACTAAATCATTTGAGCTCAGCAAGTTATGGATCCCAAGTTAATGATTTTTTTTTTCTCTCTTGATCAATCTCAAAACTAATATCTACATGACACTTTTGCATATATTTGATGCTAATATATTAGATAGACTCTTTAGTTTCTTTTACTTTTTGGTGTATGTAATGTAAGAAAAAATAGGATTTAAGCTATATACACACAGGAAGAATAAAGATTTTACTTTTATACCATAACTGCAATTTAACCTATTATACACCAGGTTAGTTATCATAATATTTACCAAGTTACCAAATAATGCACATTGTAAAAATTACCTGTAATTATCTTATAAGTCATGACCTGGTTGTGAAATATATTTTTTACGCTTTCAGTGTATGGAATTTAAACTCTAAAAAAAGGCCAAATTGGTATTGCTAGACATTCATACATATATACGTATAGGTGCATAAATTAAGCTCCAATAGGCAGATGACTAAAACATTTCAGCATACACAACAATGTCAAATTTACGAGGTCATATATTCTTCAAATAGTTGTTGAAGGGGCACCAAGTAATGAAAAATCATACCAATCATTTACCTACAAAAATGAACTTGTAATAGTTAAATGGTGCACCACTAGTTAAACTTATGTTAGGTTATTAACTATTATTTCCACAAAACAAAAGTACAATACGTGTCATCATGTAATTAATTAATTTGATACCATAAGACCAAATGCAAGCTAGTAAATTGATTAACAAGCATTTCGATCTTTTTCGTGTACTGGGAATTTGTTTTACTTGCTCAATCTTGATATTATCTGCATAGAAAACTAAACATGACAAACAAACAATCACACACATATACACACACAAGATGTACGTAAAACCTGGTCGAAAATCTGGCCTTAAAATCAGAAATATTGAGGTCAAGTTCACTATTTTTGGGGTTTTCCTAAAGAAAGTTTAAGAAGAAAATATTTTTTGGATTCTTGAGTTTGATTTCCGGAAAAAATCCTAAGGGGGATTTCCACAAAAAAAAAATGATAAACAGAACATAAAAGAATGAATTAAAGAAAAGGAAAAAGAAGTTTAATAAGTAACAACAGAAGTAGTTCACAGAAATTTGGATTCCATTAATGGGATAGAGTTTTGTTGCCTTATTTGACATGCCTAAAGTTCAACAATCATATGTCATTAGAACCATCATTGTGTTATAATACTAGACTAGGAGTTAAAAAAGGAATTAAGAAGATAATCCACAGTAAAAAATAAAAGATAGAGAATTACCTGAGATAAATCAATGTCTTGATTATATATCCTTGAGAATTAAGTCAAGCTCAAATGAAGCCTTTTAATTTGTTTCTGTATTGTTGGTGAGTGATTGAAGCTGCTAGATGACCTGATGGAACCAAACCTATGAAAGCTACCTATATTCTCTTTCAATAAAAACTTTGCAAAATTCCATTTTTTTTTCCAAATCACTTAGCTAAGTTCAAACCCAAAATAGGAAAAGCTAGACCTCAAGATTTTAAGAAAAAATGGACTTTCTTTTCTTTTATTCTTTGCAAGAAAATATATATATAGAAAGAAATGGACTTTGTTCGTACCAGATCATGCTGGCAGCTTCAACCTCTCAAAAACCAACATACAAATATATATATATATATATATATATATATATATATATATATATAACAAGAATGGATTCAAGAAAGAGCAAATAATGAAGAAAGGGTAATAGTCTATTTGAGGTAGCATTTTAAGGTATAAGAAGGAAGTGGGGCTTTTGGTGTGTGTGTGTGTGTTATTGATGCCCTATGGCTGATGCAATACGCACATACACAAGAAGCATGCATGCTTTGGGTTTTGCAGAAAATGGATGGATGTCCCTCGTGAATCTCCCATCCATCTACTACTACTATATATATAAATATAAATGCCCCTCTCTTTACTTTTTCCTTTTTCCTCCCCTTGTTTCCACTCTTGTCACTATATAGAGGCTTTTAATGATTAAAATAGGGTAGTTCGGTGCATTAAACATTCGTTACGTGCGGTCCGGAAAAGGGTCGGAGGGTCTATCGTACGCAGCCTTTCTGCAAGAGGCTGTTTCAAAAATTAAACGTTGTGAGTTATGAGTTGGAAAGAATATAGATTATTTAAATTTAATTATATTTATTAATTTTGTCTAGTAAGAGCCTGTTTGGACATAAGAAAATTTTTCCTTTTTTCCAAAAAATTTCACTTTTTTTCGAAATCACCGTTTGTTCATAAAATTTCCAATTTTCACTTGAAGATGCATTTTGGAAATTTTCGAAAATTTGAAAAACTCCAAAAAGCTGTTTTTCAAAATTTTCACTCACAAAACTTCAAAAACAACCCAAAATTATATTCATGTCCAAACACACCTCTAAATTTCAAATATCATTTTCACTTTAAAAAAAATTTCACCCTGTTTTGAAATTTTACGATTCTTATGTCCAAACGCTCACTAAATTCTATAGAACTCATTGTTGGATCCATCCATTAATTGGGTTTTGCTAATTTATTACAGCTGTTGACATTGACTTATTGCCTCCTTGCCTGAACGTTTATTTTTCTATTATTTTCTCTCCTTTTTCCCTGTCCTCTTCTTCCATCTCTAGCTTCTAATTGAGTAATTCTATCTTTTTTTTTCAAGACTAATTTTGTAATTTAATTTAAAGAAAATTGGATAGGGGACCACAAATTAAACTTGTATGTGTTGTATAAAACTACCCGTCCTATGTACTAATGAGCTTGCTTAAATAGACAAATTAGGTTTAGTGGTCCACATTTGCAGTGGCGTAGGCAGGATTTTTCATAAGCAATGTCGCAATTTGAAGAAATGAACAAATAAATAACTTATTGTAGCTGTAAACGGTGTCATTTTCTATGTTTATCCATAATATTTTTATTTTTCTTATACATAACTAGTTAAAAAATTTGACGAAGCGGTGTCCGCATATAGGACAAGGTGTATACGCCCCTGCACATTTGATTATTATTAAAACTAAAAGGTAACTGTGGTATAGTAGATCTGAGTGAATTGCAAATTTGGACCACTAAGTTTATGTGGTCTTCTGGTTTAGTCCCCCTAACAATTAGGGGTATTTGGTTTGACGTATTATTAGAGATATAATTTCGCTATCAAAGAATTAATCCAATGCACTAATTCCTGTTCACAAAGAAATTTCACACAATATAGGAAACTCTAGCTAGATTTTAATGATTGATCAAAACTATTCTCCAAATTATATAGTAATGAGTTAATATACAAGTAGGGTCAAATGCAAGACAAGCCAACATAATGCATGTGCTGAAGTCAAAACAATTAATAGCAATCGTGAAATATCTAAAAAAAACGACGATTAAAATATAATATTGTCTTAACAAGTACGATTAATAATTAACACTAGGTGATTTTGGCTCTAGTTGTATTAATTATTCTACGCTGATTGTTTCTCATAATTAGTTAGTATAAGATCGTTACTCTAGATGGTACGTACATGTACTGAAAAATTGTGACGACCCGTCGTCACGTGTGTTACCGCCCCGTTTTCCCCATTTTTTATTTCCTTATGTTTCAGTATCAGTATTAGATGTGTTGGAATTGATTTGGATTGGGTTTGATAAGAAATGAGACACTCAGTCTCTTTTAAGAAGGCTTAAGTTGGAAAAGTCAACCGGATGTTGACTTTTGTGTTAGAGGGCTCAGATATGAATTCCGATGATTCGGTTAGCTTAGGGGGATGATTTGTGACTTAGGAGTGTAATCGGAAGTAATTTTGGAGGTCCGGTGTAGAACTAGGCTTGAATTGGCGAAGTTAGTATTTTGGCGAATTTCGGTTGATAGGTGAGATTTTGATCCGGGGGTCGGAATGGAATTCCGAGAGTTTCAGTAGCTTAGTTAGGTGATTTGGGATGTGTGTGCAAAATTTCAGGTCATTCGGAGGTGTTTTGGTTGGATTTTTGATCGAATGCGTGTTTCGGAAGTTTCGAAAGAACTTAGGCTTGAATTCGATGAGAAATGATGGTTTTAGTGTTGTTTGAGGTGTTTTGATGATTGGAGCAAGTTTGAATAAGGTATTGGATCATGTTTGTGTTTTTGGTTGAGGTCCCGGGGGCCTCGGGGTGATTTCGGATGCCTAACGGGAAGTTTTGAACTTAAAGAGATTGCAGAATTTTGCTGCTTCTGGTATTTTCGCTTCTGCGGAAATGGGATCGCAGAAGCGATTCAGGAACCGCAGAAGCGACAGTAATCGCAGGTGCGAAGATGCCAACCGCATTTGCGGAGTCGCAGATGCGACAAAAGGACCGCAGATGCGGAATTTTGGACTTTAAGGAGATTCCCGCAGGAGCGGAAAAAGATCACAGATGCGGTAGCCGCAGAAGCGGAAAATGACCGCAGGTGCGGAAACAACTGATCAGAAATTCACGAAATTTTACAAAACACATATTTTAACTTCGGATTTAGGGTGTTCTTGAGCGATTTTGAAGAGGAAATTCAAGGACTTCGATCAGGTAAGCATTCTTGGACTTAGAACATAATTTTATCATGCAAATACATGAAATTACACTGAAAACTCAAGGAATTAAGGTCAAAAATGGTGGTTTAGGGCTTGAAACCTAAGAGAACAAAAATGGGAATTTGAGGGGTCATTTGGACTCCGATTTTGGTGTTCTTTATATGCATGGACTCGTGGCAAGATAAGGAATCCGGTGATGTGAAATTTATAATTTTTCGAGAAGTGGGCCCGGGGCTCGAGTTTTGCCAACTTCGTGATTTTCGATGTTTTTCGAGTCTTTTCGAATGGGTTATATTCCCTTAGCATATTGTGACGTATTCATTGTGGTTTTGGTCAGATTCGACGCACGAAGAGGTGAATTCGAAAGGCAAGGGCATAGCAAGCTAGGACTTTGGCCGGCTTGAGGTTAGTAATAAATGTAAATACTGTGTTGAGGGTTTGAAACCCCGAATTTGCACATTGTAGTGCTATGTTGAGGTGACTTGCACGCCGGATAACGGGCGTGGGGTAGAGCACCGTCGGGGATCGTGACTTGGTCCATCCCGCTTAATAAAATTACTACCTAATTGATTGTAGTTTTTGTGATATCCTTATAGAAATGGATTAATTATCATAATTGGGCTTCGTGCCTACTACTTGAATCCTTCAGGGATTATTATTACTGGTTTCCTACCATATTTCTAGATATTGAATTCAGTCCTGGTATTTAACACTGTGTTGGAAACTCAGCCATTTTTCTAAAGTAGAAACTAAGTAATATTTTTAAATGAAGTTTGGGCTGAATATTTTTATAGTATTGTGCCGAAAGGCTTATGTGATTTTGGACTGAGTATGGGATCGGACTGCACGCCGCAGTGGTATGATGATGATATTGATATGAGGCCAAGGGCCTGATTGATGCCACGAGATGGCTTATAATTGCGCTTGGGCCGTAAGGGGCCCCTCCCGGAGTCTGCACACCCCCAGTCGAGCGTCGTCGACGTAATAAATGGAGCGGGCTG